CAAAAAAATAAACACCTCTAGTGATTATAAACAACCAAAACCTTTAATCCATTTCTCCCCATCTATTTCCTTTAATATATACCCTCTATTCTTATTATTGTGTACTCCTCAGGTGTAAAATGTTGTGATGTCTAAAAAAACTAATATACCCCCTTTGCTTTATGTTATCTTATATACCTTACCCCTCCCTCTAGTTCTTGTGTTCATCACTCTTACTGTGCAAAAAACAGGAAATATACAAACCTTCGTGACTAAAATATAACCCTGTGTCCTCATTCCCTCTCCCCTTCCTCACCTTCTCCCCTCCCTCCAGAATACATCCTTCATTCCTTTCTATCTCTCCAATCACACAGGTCATATGCTATATTATCCAATAATAAATATCCACATAGTAATTTATCTATCTTTCTAGGGATTGTTTTTTTTCTATTTGGCCATACATTGCATTACCCGTTCCACTTTTCTTAAAGGAGAACTATGAGGTGAGTGCTTTTCACATGCCGGTGTTCGCTCACTTCTCGATCCTGTCACGGCTCTCTGCCATGACAGGGGAGGGGATGGATTGTCCCCTCCGATCCACCAGTGCTGACTAGCGGAACGGACGGGGGAGGGGCAGGTACAGCTGGCTCTGCCTCTAGATAGGCAGAGCCAGCTGTCACTCACGCAGCTGGGCGGATCTCGACATCGATGTCGGGATCCGCTCCGGCTGCGGCGTCTCAGTATACCACGAGCTGTAGCTCGCGGTATACTGAGCTTAGGGTGACGGGAGGATGCTAGTTTGTACAGGTACTTCTTTTAACGCTTTCCCAAATTCCTCTGATTGTCTATATATATCCCATTTCTCCCAAATCTTTTTATATCTAGCGTTCCTATCTATATCCCTTGCACTTAATTCCTCCATATATCTTATTTCCTCCATTATATTCAGCCAGCTCTCTAGTGTAGGTGGACCGTTGATTTCCAAGCCCGTGATATGCCAATTCTAGCTGCAACCAGCATAAGTCTTAAGATGTAATTTTTTATCTTTTTTATGGGGCCTGGTATCAATGTTAATAATGCAACGAAAGGATCCTTTTCAATATTTGTTACCTCCATAGAGCGATATATTTCAAATACTGACTCCCAGTATGGTTGTAGTCTAGGGCAACTCCACCAAATATGCAAGTATGTTCCCTCCTCTATACTACACCTCCAGCATTTATCAGATATTTCTGAGTTTATGTGTTTGATACCCACGATTACATATGTTTTGTTGGTGCCTTCTATATGTGGTGGGTATGAAGCTCTGGCCGCTCTGCTGCACAACCTGCCTGTCGCCCAGAGCATCCCAGGGCCATACACATCTCCCTGCCTAGTTCCTAGCAACTTGGGATGCTCTGGCCGGCATCCCACTCAGCTTCTGGCAACCAGTGATGCAGAGACCACCCCCTCCCCTATAGTGCCCCCTAGGGACCCCTGATGGTGCAAAAAGTAATATTACTGGTAGTTAACCCGGAACATTCTATGATATGTTTGTTATGTATTCAATATTTTGTTGTAGAGCAAAGATTGTATACATATAGCAAAAACAGTGGGATCAAAACCATTACAGTTTCCATTTAGCCTGGCAGTTCATTATTTAATGCTGACAACAACATGTCGCATAAAAAAGGGAGGTGAGTACCCACTGGTAAGCTGGTAAGTGATGAAAAGGTATACGGGGAACACACTGACTGGGAAGCCCAAACTGATAAGGGGGCAGCATGTGGGGGAGAAAACAGGATAAGGATTAATTGACA